AGAGAGAGAGAGAGAGAGAGAGAGAGAGAGAGAGAGAGAGAGAGAGAGAGATCTATTGTAAACTTCAGTGTTTGTTCATGAAAGCGCAGACAACATCCCAATGTGAGAGTGCCATTCATTTTACGCATAACGATCTCCAGGTACAGCAGAAGAAGCAGAACGGGAACGCTTTTGAACTCCATCATACGAATCTCGCGAGTCTCCTACTTCTTATACTTGCCCCCTCCCTTCGATAATCCAGAGTTACATTGGAATTGGAATTATTGGAGCTGTAACTAACCCATGGACCAGAACCTAGCATCAATCTTGACCTGTCCAATGTTTTTCTTCCACGGATTGCCACTCAAGCAGGGCTCCCACAGAGCCACTCCCCCCCCTTCCCCTCTCCCCGCCCCCCCCTAACCACCACCAGCACCACATAGCGTCGCACTGCATAGCGTCTTTGAAACAACGCCAAGCAAAACCGAGCGTCTCTCTTAACATATGCTGAGCATACACCAAGAGCTGAACTCAAATAATCCTATATCCGTTCACCGTTCCGGGACGTATTCGCACCTAGGTGACTCCACTGACCTCTGTGACTAGGTGATGAACAGGTGGGGCACTTCTTTTCCTTGTTTTGCTTTTTTTCGCCTTCGCGCTCTGATTCACAGTGTGACAATATATATGTATATATGACTACATAGATGTACACATGACTATTTCCTTTACTTTTCCCCCGTTACTGGGGTATTCCATTTTGCGGGCCTACTGTATGGTTCCGTTTTTTGACTATGGATATGGTAGATTTGTTGTGGTGCTTACGAAAATGTTAAAGGACAAGGGAAGGAAGGCGTGTTAGTTAAACAAAGTAAATAACACATCCCATAAACAACGTAAATGATACATTTCATTTTTTATGTAATTTTCCCCGTTGTTGGGGTATTTTGTTTTGTTGTGGAATCTTGTTGTGGTAATCTTGTCTGCATCCCGGTTGGTTTTGTCCCGTTATTCGGTTTGGTGCTTCATGGGGGACCAGTCATCCGGGCTTTTATTGTTTTGGCATCCTGGTTGTTTGTTCCCGTTGTTCGGCCTTTTTGAGAGAAGCGGGGCGGTGCTTGCATGTGGGAATCATCATCCAGGATTGTCTTTTATATTGGTTCTTTGGGTTCTTTTTTATTTTTTTGCAGACAAGAATGCTTGTTCCGTTTTTTTAACTATCGATATGGTAGAATTTGTTTTGCTGATTTTGGATATCCATATGGAAGAATTTGTTTTGCTGATTTTGTCTGCATCTCGGTTGGTTTGGTCCCGTTGTTCGGGCTATTTCATGGGCGTGGCGGTGCTTTCACGTGGGACCAGTCATTCGGGTTTTTGGCATCCTGGTTGGTTGTTTCCCGTTGTTCGGCCTTTTGAGCGCGGGGCGGTGCTTGTATGTGGGAATCGTCATCCGGGATTGTCTTCTCCTCCTTTTTTTGGTTGTCACACTGTGGATCGGAGCTTTTTTTATGCTTTGTCTTATGACATCCTGGCTGGTCTTGTCCCGTCGTTTGGCCTGTAGTTGCGGGGGCGGTGTTTGCATGTGGGACTTGTCATCTAGGCTTGTCATTTAGGATCTGCTTTGTAGCCCCCTGTTCTGTTTTGTTTGGGCTGTTTCCTTCCTCTTTTCTTTGCCTCTTTGCCTTCTGGCTGTGTGCAAGTGGGTCGATATGACACACGGGGGTGGGGGCAGCCGCCGCTCAACCTACATCCACGTGGGCGGCCTTGTACGCAAGAGGTTCTGAACAGGGGAGTTGTAATAAAGAAGATAAAAAATTGAATTCAATTTTCCCTCTTGTTTTTTTTTTTTTTCTTCTTCTTTTTTCTTTTTTTCGCATTTGCGCTCTGATATTCCTGTGACAATATATATAAATATAAGGGTTCAGCCTCCTGAGTCCTGACGAGTGGGTGAAATTCTGAAGAGACAGCCTTTCACAGCCCCTTGTTTATTGCCCATTTCTCCCTCTCTGCCTATGGTTCACCAGGCAGTTCTTTATCTCAATGTGCATATGTATGTGTGTGTAAGTGTGTGTGTGTGTGTGTGTGTGTGTGTGTGTGTGTAGCAGTGGTCAGGGTCGTCACCACGTGGGCATAGTGCTAGCCGTGTGTACGAATTGTAGTCTGGGTGTGGCAGACTTTTCTGTGTTTCGTGTGGGGTTTGTTGGGTTGTGATGGGGCATGAACCTGCAGTCTGTAGAATTTTCCGTCTGCTGTGGGTGGGTGATAGTCTGCTTTGAATTTCGGCAGTAGTTGATGCCCACCTCAGGGCATCAGTTGTGGTGGGGGGGCAGTGCCCAAACACAACTGGGGTTAAGGTGGATTATCACCTGCAGTATCATTGGTCAGGGGACTCGGGAGACTGCAGAGGGTTCAACCTCCTGACATGACGGTGAAACTTCGACGACACAGTATGTCACAGCCCCCTGTTTCTTGTCCTGTGCTCTCTTTCTGCTACGGTTCACTAGGCCATTCTCTGTGACTACGACTGCCAAGTGAACGGTAGGCAGGAAAGGAGAAAAGGACACGAAAACATGGGGCTGTGACAGACTGTCTAGTCGAAGTTTCACTGTCTCATCAGGACTCTGAACCCTCTACAGTCTCTCAGAGTCTCGTAACCCATGCCGCCATAAGTGGTAGTCCACCTTAACCCCAGTTGTGGGTTCCAACCACTGCCCTGGATGTACCTGTGATGATAATCAAAGGCGAGTATCACTCACCCACAGCAGAGGAAAGACTATGGTATGGGCCTGAATGCTCGGCGAGAGGTTACTGGGAGTCACTAGCCATGCAACCCTCTGAGCAGTATGTCAGGGAGAGGAACTGTGTGACAGGTGCAGATCCCTTCTGGCATGGTGGAGGTGCTACCTTTTGTAAAGTTGTGCGGTTGCCTACTGGCAACTAACTTGTAGAACTGTGGTTGTCTGCTTCTTGTGTTGTTGTTGATGGCCTCTTTTGACGAACAGAAATCTAAGGCTCCGATGCTGTGTCTCAGGAAAGGCTCACTTCCACTGCCATCCACAGCATGTACGTGTTACAAGTCAGCAAGACTTTATATCAATTTCAACACACCATGCCTCCAATCATTTCCTCCTCGTTGCTGCCTCCACGCTTATTCAAACAATCAATAATAATAATAATGATGAATGGCTGAACCAGAATCGAAGTCCGAATCTCAATTCTACTGCCTGGCATCAACAGAGGTCCACCATAGCCATGGCCTCCTTCTTCCTCCTCAATCAGGCCGGGGGACTAATAAGGGCCTAGCCCTGCTGTGCAAAAGACGAAGCGAACCAGCTATGTTCGCTGCTACTCAGGCCGACATGCCTGACTCTGCCTTGAAGCCTTCTTGGTGCGGCGCAACCCCCACTGGGGCCTTCCAGATGCAGCGCCTAACAAGCTTATGAAGGTGGCGCCCACCATAGCCGGGTGATTACCTCACCGCTCTCCTCTCTAGTCCCCTTCTTCCTCCTACCTTTAGAGCTCCACCATAGCCGAGGTGGAAGCTCCCAGCCTTCTTCCTCCTACCAGCGCTCCTCTTCCTTCAGCGCCCAGACTGCTAGCGCTTGCCCAAGCAGCATGTCGCCCAAACTCGCATACCGCAAATGAGGAGGAGCACTTCGCTCCTCCCGAAGATATAGTGGCCTACCTGCCTCTTGGGCGGTGACTTCCAGGCTGTGCGGCCTCCAAGCAACCGGTACCTCCTCCCTTTCGGAGGGAAACATCATTGCAGGCTCTGATATCGTCCGCACAGGCCCTGGACTCAGGCTACTTGGACTGGTAGCTGCGTAGACCTAGCCTACCAACTACTGGGCCTCAAAAAATGCCAGCTTTGTCTTCTTCTGCTCGGCCTCCAGTTCCCGACACATGTATGACTACTTGGGTGGTGCCGGCCTACCTACTACTTGAGTGTTTTTCCCGATGCTCTGAGTGTCGCAGGCCGACTCCTGCCACTTGAGTGTTTTCCCCGCTGCAACCCTCAGAGTCACGGCCACAGGTAAGTACCGGCCCTGCGGGTCACACACACACTCAGACCGACAAGCACGCAGACCAGTGAGCACACACACACACACACACATAGAAAATTTAGCAGAACGTGGGAATCTCACCAAAGGCATTCATTCCAGCGGCAAAACTCAGAAATGAGCACTGTTCTCAGTCTGTGTTTTGACGGGTCATTACAGTTTTTTTTTTTTTTTTTTTTTTTTAAATTTTTATTTGAATGTCCCGATGGACCACGGATCAGATATTGAACTGGCCAGAACAAATACTACACTTGATCTTTGCCAAAAGGCACGAAAGGTATTGGTCATTACAGGTTCTTTTTTTTTTTTTTTTTTTTTTTTTTTAATTTGGACCATTTCTCGATTTATGCGTGTCATCCTTGCGCAGGGGCCATGCTAATCTTCTCTGTATCGTTCCAATGTTAACGGATGTCCTGAAGGACAGCGAATTCAGAATTCCCCTACGTGCTTGCTCATAGTTCGAGACAATTTGAGGTGCGGTGTCACGAAGTCGCTCTTTGTACCTATCCTCTTCTGGGTCTTGGTACTGCCATGTAACTCTAAGCTGTTTACTCAGTCTCCCCCGCCCACCGGCTCTAGTTCAGCCTGATCTACAATGCGGTCAATGTCTGTTGACTCGCTCTCCCCCGCCTACCGATTCTAAGTTCGGCCTTATCTACTATGCGGTCAATGTCATAGTTACCATCCATATGAAATCATTGATATACGTGAAGGGAAGGATTGTCCGGAGTCGACAGGCAACAGCTTTGAAGCATGGAAGGAGGACAAGTATGAAGGTGTGGTGGAACATCGGTGGTATAAGATGTACAGTCAGCTTCCCCCTTGACATCTAGCACTTCCCAAGGTTCTCTGTACTCGGATATCAGTTTCTGAGAAATTCTTTCTTCTGGCACCACGGAGGGTGTATGGTGTTTATTAGCGTGCTCTATCGTGTGCCTGATGTTCTCAATGACTTCTTTCAAGTCTTTTTCATATTTCAGTGTGAACTCATGGTTGCCGTGTGGTAACCTCTGAATCTGATCCAGACTTTGCCCATTGATAGGTCTTCATGGCTTCGACTCCTTGTGCAACTCGTTAGGCATCTGGTTGTCAAATGCACCAATGCACTGGCTACCTTAGGGAGGTCTTCATCCCAGCCGTTCTGATCTGGTCTAATATACGTACAAAGGGTTGTCCGCAACAACTTCTTCATCTTTTCTGTCTGGCTGTTTGTCTCAGGGTGTCTACCGGATGACGTGGGCAACTGGGATCCATACACTTCCATGAGTTGCTGCCAGTGTTCCACTATAGTCAAGGGATGGCCATGATCCTTGACCCAATGCGCAAAGAATTTACGGGGTACCAAATTTATCTTAGCTTCGGCTGGCAAAGGAATGAATTCCGCAACAGTGTGAGTGTATGGTGTGTGCTGTATGCTGTCGTCTCCTTCCAGCTCCAGCTCTACCTCCATCTCCACGATCTCTCTCTCTCTCTCTCTCTCTCTCTGTGTGCAGGACAGGATCTGCCACAGTGGCAGATCCTGGTTCACTACTGGTCTATAGCCCTTGCCGTCGGCAACCTGTAGTACAGCCCAGGGATTTCCTCCTCCGGAGAGTTCAAACGTATGTGTTCTTGTGTCGGTGTGATCATTGGCTTGTCAAGCCTGCCTTCAGTCTGGTCATCTCATACATGCTTGTCAGAGAGTTCATTGAGTTTCTTCTGGTTGGGTTCCTTGCAAAAGAAAAGAAACAAAGGAAAATGGGGATGTCATGCACAGAACGAGAAATGGTTCAAATTGGAAAAGAACCAGTGCTGTAAACCCGGTAGGACCGGGGGCCCCTCCCCCAACCGGAACCGGACCGGTCCGGTTCCCCCCGCTTGGTCGTAGTGCATCTTCTTCTTCCTCTTCTTCTTTCTTTCTTTTTTTTTTCTTTCTTTCTTTCTTTCTTTCCTTCTTTCTTTTATAGAGCCCAGGGTGTTGTAGAGGCCAAGGACTAGACCCACGGTGATCACTGGCAGCGGGAGCCGGTGGTTGTCCTGACAGGATAGGCCACTTTCCCTACCCTTCCCTACGTAAATACTCCAGCGCACCCCCTATCCCTACTATCCTACCTCAGTGTGACTGGCACTCAGGGGGGTCTTGGACCAGGGGGCCGTAGCGCATCCATTCTGGGTTGTCTTACTGGTTTCTTTTTGGGCTAAGAGGCCTCCACGCAGGCCGTGGAGGTCTCCTGGCCCAAAAACAAATCAGACCGGGTCCGGTAGGCCCGCCAAAAAGGCTTGAAAAGGGCGGCCTATCTGGACTGCTGATCTCAAGAGATCGGAAGCCCAGATAGGCCTCCCTTTTCAAAGTTTTTGGGTGGGAAGTACCGTCCCTACCCTGCCACTTTGACCCCCACCCCTCTTTTCAAAGTTTTTGGGCGGAAGGTCAACGTTTGCAGAAAGCCAGATAAGCTGTTGTCAATGTCCGCTGAAGCGCATGCTTGCTGAAACCCAGCCGCTAACACCCCCACCATAAACCCTCCCAACCCCTGAAATAACTCTACCAGTATGCGGTAACTTGAACCAGACAGCAGTGACAAACATCAAGGGGCCGTAACGCATCCATTCTGGGGGTCTTACCGTTTTTTTTTTGGGCTAGGAGGCCCCACGCAGGCCGTGGAGGTCTCCTGGCCTGCCCCAAAAGAAATCAGACCGGGTCCGGTAGGCCTGCCGGCCTGCCAAAAAGACTTGAAAAGGGCAGCCTATCTGGACCGCTGATCTCAAGAGATCGGCAGCCCAGGAAGTACCATCCCTACCCTGCCACTAACACCCCCACCCCCCTCTTCAAAGTTTTTGGGCGGAAGGTCAACGTTTGCAGAAAGCCAGATAGGTTGTTGTCAATGTCTGCTGAAGCCCGTCCTTGCTGAAACCCCGCCGCTAATACCCCC